CTTTAAAGTGTGTATTCATATTTGTTATATAGTTTTTGTTTGTAACAATGTGAATATGGAGTAAAGTAAGGAATTAAAGGGTGCTCAAATATTCGAAATAGTTGGTTTGGCAAAAGAAGTGGTCGATCGTTGTTTCACGAATACGGTGTCGAGACTGAAAGGGGCCACGTTCGATATGCTTGCTTCAGAGATACTTCGCGTTCATCGCAATGCCTATCCAGCTGTCTCTGATAAGGAATACAATTATGGTATCGTTAATTGTCATATTTAAGAGGTGTTGTACATCTTATTAAATAATAGTACCAATGACATGACAATTAACAGGTGATAGTCGCACTCTGATTAGTCCAGGCATATATCACTGGAGAGATGGTGGTGAACGACATATAAACGAACCAGTTAATATAGCTAAACTTCAGGTATGTTCCTTTTGAAAATTTTATCCAAACCGAATGTCGTATGATATGTATTGAACGTGGTGTTTTCGACACTACACTCAACAGTTTGTTTTACATCGAAATACAGCAACTGGAACTCCCCAACCATCTTCGAAATGAAGAATTTTCTCGATTAGTAACCTCTCTACTGAATTCCGAATAGATGAATGCATTTCTTTTCGAATGCTCAATTAATTTATTATTTGGTATTCATTATTTCATTATTCTCTTGCTGCATGACTTTATTTATATGTAAAATGATAATGAAAAAGAATGCAAATTTGAAGGCAGCAGCTCGTTTGAATGATAAGAAAAGCTTTCAAGAGTTTTCAACAGCATCAAATCTTGCACAGCGTATGTGTACACTGCGTGGCCAACTGGAAATTAAGACCGCCAAAAAACTTCAAATTCCACTGGAGGATGTTGAGCCAGCGAGTGAAATTGTTAAACGTTTCGTGACTGGTTGGTTTCGTTGTTTTATTTTAATGATGGATCGATCTCGAGATGCATGCCTGAAGCTAGAATCGACACTTTTAAGGATGTGTGCGATAGATTGTGTGATATGATACTGATATTAGCAAAGTATTTAATTTATTTAGCAATTCAATTTGTTAAACCAATATTAAGGACTGAAATAAAACCGAATGAATCATAAGGAGTAAAATGACAAGTAAAATTGTTCAGCTAAATGTGGGAAGCGGAAAGAAATATATAGAATGACTCGAAAGTTTAAATGAAGTATTTCTGTATTTGAACAAAGGGTAAATTATGGGAAGAAAAATTGGTGGTAACAGTTTTTAATAAACGAGTGGATTTGAGGTTTGGGAAAGCAGTCGGGTAAGTGATAAAATATGATGCAATGCTCATCCTGAATATAGCTTTAATTGTTGATATAATAACAGGTGCGATGTCATTTGGAAGTATTTCATGGGAAACGCATACGACGTTAGCGATAGCGATGAATCGCATTGGTGGTAAATCGAATACTGGAGAAGGTGGTGAGAAAGCGGAACGTTATCGCAACGACCAGCCGAGAGATATGAACATGCGTTCGGCGATTAAGCAGGTTGATTACTTCTCAACTCAGTGGCTTACTGCTTCTTTTATGCAACACAAATGCGCTTTTCACATTTCTCTATGACTGTGAACCTCATCTTAAGAAGTAGTTGAGGAGCGAGCGTAGAATGAGTTAAGAACGAGAGAAGTCAGAAGAGAGGTGGTGTTTATGGTTTTTTTATTGTGCAGGTAGCATCAGCACGTTTCGGTGTGACGAGTTCGTATTTGGCAAATGCAGATGAGATTCAAATCAAGATGGCACAAGGCGCAAAGCCAGGTGAGGGAGGCGAGTTACCCGGTCACAAAGTGACCAAGGAGATCGCGTCTACACGTCATTCTACACCGGGTGTCGGCCTCATTTCACCACCACCTCATCACGACATCTACTCTATCGAGGATCTGTCCCAACTCATCTACGACTTGAAATGCTCCAATCCCATGGCTCGTATTAGTGTGAAACTCGTCTCAGAGATCGGTGTTGGAGTTGTGGCAGCCGGCGTTGTCAAAGG